GCAGTTGAACTGTGATCTCACCACTGCACTCCAGCCTGGACAGCTGGAGTGAGACTGTCTCAAAAAAAAGAAAAAAGTGTTGTTTTTAAGCCACTAACTGTGTGTAACTTGTCACAAGGGCAATAGGAAACTAAGACAGTGGCCAATCTGACTATGAAAATAAGGGCAGGCTACACTGGAGAGCCGGGATAGGGACACCCGGGTGGGGGGCAGAGACATGGGTCACCTCAGGGGAAAACACACTGAGGAGGCAGCCCGTGATGGCACATGGAGGCTGGGAGCACGGTGCTCAAGGATCAGCTCATCAAGGAGCTTGACCAAATTTAGAGCAAGGCCCTGTGATGGTACATAGAGATGTTTGTTCTAAGCAGCAATAGAAAGCTTCCGGAATCTATTCCATTAAGAGGTGAAAATGTGAGTTGTTTTGGAGTTGTTTTCAGCAAAGTCACAATGATAGCACCATTATAGATATTTTAGGGACATAATCCTGATCTTTTGGGTGGATGAGCAGAATGTCTAGTTGGTTCACCGAGCCCTGGTTTTGACCCAATATGGTAATTCGTGAACTCTTAGGAGGCCAGAAATATCCTAATCCTGTGCGAGCCAGGGACCCTTGGACTGTAACTGTCTTGTCTGCTTTTGATCATGAAGGAGACTCAGAGGCCCAAACCAGAATTCAGAAAAAAGAGCAACAGGATTGTGTTTAAAAAACACACACATGCATTTTTAACCAGTTTATTCCCTACAAAAAAAATCAAGTACCAATTTTGTTTCCTCTTGTGCAGACTGAGAATAGACTTTATTACAGTGTATTCGAATTCCATTATGCCAAAACAGGATGACCTTTTGTTGTTTTGAATAATGGCCTTAGACCTGCAGGAAGCTGCATCTGATGAGAAACATGGTACCATAAAAGAAACCCAAAAACGCCGAAGGCCTGCCACCGTGCTCCCATTTCAAAGCACACCATAGAGAACTAAGGACATGTGCACATGCCCCTTCCTAACTTGGGACCTCTTTACCCTCCACCCCAGCTGCGGGGTATTTCACGATGTGATGCTTAGAATGCTGAGATCGAGTATGAAAAGACCTTTTTTTTTTTTTTTTTTGGAGACAGAGTTTCGCTCTTGTTGCCCAGGCTGGAGTGCAGTGGCATGATCTTGGCTCACTGCAACCTCCCACTCTGGGGTTCGGGTGATTCTCCTGCCTCAGCCTCCCAAGTAGCTGGGATTACAAGCACCCACCACCATGCCCAGCTAATTTTTTTATTTTTAGTAGAGATAGGGGTTTCTCCATATTGTCTCGAACTCTTGACCTCAGGCGATCCGCCCACCTCAGCGTCCCAAGGTGCTGGTATTACAGGCGTGAGCCACTGCACTTGGCCTAAACGACTTGTTTTGAAAGAGACTGAGATTCCCCTTCTGGCTCTGTTCCTACCTGGTTGCGCAAACTTAGAACCTCTCTAAGCTTTGTTTCCTTAACTCTGAAGGATAATGATTTAAATCATTTTAAGGATTTCTAAAGCCCCGGTTCTTTATAAGAGAAGGTGGATAAAGATTATTTTCCTTCCGACTCTCTGCAGCGCTGTACCAAACCTGTGGACAAAGGGTCCTCTCGCTGGGACTGAGGCAAGCGGTCATTCCTTACGGTCAAAGTCCTGCCCTTCCTGACCATGTTTTCCTGAGTCCTAGCCTTTCTTGTGGGGAGCAGGGTATGAGGATTAAGATCCTGTCATGTCTTGTCCCAGCATGTGGGAGTGAGATCTGTGGTTTTTGCGACTTGATATTTAAGGGAGAATCATTCATCTTTTACCAATTTTTGTTCCTCTTTCAGATTGATTCATGGTGCAAAGATCATAGCTACGTGATTGCTGGTTATTATCAAGCTAATGAGCGAGTGAAGGATGCCAGGTACGTGAATGCGGAACCGTCTGTAGGCGAGGAAGTGAGCACGTGACAGGCAGAGCCTGTCTCTCGTGTGCTTTTCGACCAGATACGAAACCTGTGAGACCCATGCCCCTTCCCTCTGTGCTTATTTATAGTATCTGAGGCGAACTGTGGTGTGCATAATTCCAAACAACAGAAATTCCAAACATTTCTATTAACTTTGGGATTCTGTTCTGTGTCTTCTTTATTTTGCATGAAGGGAATTCATACAATGAAAGCGACAGTCGGGGTTCCGGTTTCTGTCCCTGCTCAGCTCTGCCTTGCTTCCTCTTCCCAGACTACGGGTGGTGGTGGGCAGAGCACTGGGAAGGAATGCTGCTCTATTTGCCAGCAAATAGACCAGCCTGTAGGTTTGGGGTCAGTACTCTGATGAAAATGTGGTATTTGCTGCCCCATTTATGCTGGTTCTTTCTTCCTTTTATCCGGATCCTTCCCCCACTGGGGCTCTCACTAGTAACAAAGCTGAGAATTTTTCTGTATGTCTGTGTCATCTTGGTCCCAACAGAAAAACAGAGGACACGCTCGGGTTGGGATCGTCTGAGAAGGGCTTAATAAGCAGGCTGTTCACAAGTCATGGGCCGTAGATAAGAGAACGCACAGGGGGTCGTGCAGTAACCAAGACTGGTGACAACAGTCCAGAGGGTGGGGAGGAAGGTGCTGGGTAAAGAAGTCCACCTTGAGAAGAGCAGTGCCCTTAGGCGGGTGGCCATAGCCAGCCTGACATGGCCTCCCATCTGGGGAGGGGTGGCCCAGAGCAGTCAGTACCTGATGTCCCTCTTTCATTTTCCTTTGGCTTAACCCAGCCAGAAGCCAGACGGGCAGCTGGAAAGTCCACACAGTATATAACAGGGGCATGCGTCATGCTGCCCTGACGTGGCTTCCTCATGTTGTCGGATAGAGCCGACCCTCCAGTGTCCAGGGAGATGGGGGTGCAGTGAAAGGCCCTGCCATTGGGTCCGCTTGCTCAGCACAGATGAGAAGG